CAACCTTTTTGAAGTCATGGTTATCAATCAAATCAAGAGGAACAACTAAGAGAAATCATAGGGATTATGAACTTACCCAAAAAAAAAAAGGACAGAGAATTTAAAAAAAAAACTATTTTTACCCATATAATGTAGAGAGAGAGGTAGAGTGAGGATACATAAACCTACTAGAGAAAAAAAAATTTGGTTGAAAATTTTAAATTTTTGGTTATTTAAAAACCGAAATTAACCCCATTTTCAGTTGTTGCACAACTGAAAATACTTTGAATTTGGTTGTTGTAAAGTTTTTTTTTTTAAAAAAAAAAACCTTTCTGTTTTGACATAAAAAATTTGGTTGTTGTAAAGTTTTTTTTTTTTTGAAAAAAAAGCTTTCTGTTTTGACATAAAAAAACGTACACGATGGTAATAACCGAAACTATTCGGTAGAGCCACAATAATGGAAACTATAACGGATACGTATATAATTTTCCCTAAAATTTATAATATTCATTAATAACCTTCAAAAATAATATATAAAAATTTTAGGACTCCTACTTTATCTAAGGAATTGGTTGCAATGAGAGTTAAAGAGACGTGAGGAAAGAGATGATGTAGGATTTCCATATTTACACATTGTTCTAAAGAGAGAACTTAGGTAAATTGGAAGGACCCCTTAGTAACATAGGCTAGAATTGCCCTCAATTTTGGGAAAGGACTGGATCGTACCCACACCTTAGTCACCAACGGTATGGTTTTCATTCCCCCACTTAACACTACTTCACGGATATTTTAAAAAAACTAACTCCTAATCTACTTGAAAAAACAGAATACCTAATCTACTTGAAAAAACAGGGAGGACCTGTCTTCCCACACTAAAATACCCCAAAAAAAAAAAAAAAAAAACAAATAAATGACACGTGCTTTGCACAACCATCTCAAGAACAAAATTAAACGGAAACGCAACATTCTAGATTAAAGCTCTTAGGATACACAATGTGCTATTTTTAAGCAATATTTAATTTCCACCTCTACATCTATTTAACTTTTTATCTAATTGCTATTTAATTTACCATATTTAATGTTATTTGTTATATTACGATTAGTTTCACTTTCTTTGTTATATTATAACTATTTCACTTTTTTATTCTTATTTATTCTTTTATGTTGCATTACGTTTTGTGATTCTTATTTTGTTAGGAATTTTAATTTAAATACAGATTTTCAAAAAATTGGAGGGGAAAAATATGCGGAGAGTATTCAAAAACTTTACTACTACTTTTACTTGCTTGGACATATAGATACAGGTAGATATATGATAAAATATAGAATCCAAACGTTTCAAATTAACTAGATATATGATAAAATATACAATCCAAAGGTTTTAAATTAACCAGACTAAAACAGTATATGGAATGCAAGTTTAAAAATGATAGAAGTAGAGATAAGGAAGTAGTTAAAATTGACAGCAAAAAAATATAAAAAAGAACACATTTTCGATATCTTGAGTCGATAATCCAAAAAAATAGAGAGACTGATAAATATAACACACAAAATTAGAGCTGCATGGGTGAAGTGGAAAGGCGCAACTGAAACTTTGTTATCACCGCATACCAATGAAGCTGGAAGGCAAGTTCTATAAGACAAATATGAGACCAGTTTTGCTCTATAGGGCAGAATATTGGGCGGACAAAAACAATATACGTATAAAATGAGTGTAGCGAAAATGAAGATGCTGAGATAGATGAGTGATAAGACAAGAAAAGATAAAATTTGAAATAAACCCTAGAGTATTTAGGTGTGGCACCAATATATGATAAAATGAAAAAAAGTAGACTTATGTAGACTAGCCATGTATGGTGCCAACCAAGTATATCACCATTAGAAGATGCGCGTTAGTTCAAGTCAAAAGATTAAAAAAAAACAAATGATTAGCCCAAAAAAACATGATTGAAAATAATCCAAAAATATATGAGTACTTATGGCTTCATTGAGAGTATAGCCTTTAATATAACAGAATGGCAAACCTCAATTAATTGAAGAAATACCATGATAATGATGATGCAGATATACAATAAAGTACAAGAAAGGAAGTAGAGATGGTTCATAGTTTCTTGATTTATTTATTTTTTAAAATTGTTAATAGTGATTTTTTGTTTTTTTATTTTCTACTGTTTAGAAATTTATAATTTAAATATCTAAAAAAAGGTAATACGTAGCAACTCTATATTCATACTCTATATTCATCCTATTGCGAGGGCATCCACATTCATGTTAGCTTCCCCACATTAATGAATACACAAGAAATCATTTTGATGTCCAAAATACAAAATCGCCAGATCCGTATCAAAAATTAATAGGACCGGTACAATTCCCACCAGGTTTAAAAACTCGCCGAGTCGAGCCGGACTCGCCGATTCCACGAAAAAATCGAGAATCACCCGTGTTCAGAGAGAACTGGGCGATTCCCGACGATTCCCAATAGTGAATCACGAGTCTCACCGAGAGTGACACATGGCAGCCTCACGAGAGTGACACGTGACACCTAAAAATCTTCCACATGTGCTAATTCACCTCACTCGTATGCCCCCCTCTCATTTCTGCTCACGCAGCGGATAGACTAATACACAACATTTTATAAAGAACAAAAGGTCACTCAACCTTCAATGTGGGATAATTCCCACAAAAAACTATTCAAGCAAAATGATTAAATATATATTATATTATAGAAGCTAATGAATCACATCAGGCGATGTGTTGGTGCTGGTTGACAACCTTAAATTTCAGACGGGCATCTTGAGATCGAACCCCCCACGCGTCGTCGTCTATATAATACAACATTTTTTTAAAATAAAGATAAAAAATAAAAAGCTTTTCAAGATATTGAATAAAAAGTTTGAAATAAAATAGAAAAAATAAAAAGTTTTTCCTGTTGTAAAAAAAGCTTAAAAAATAAAAAATAAAAAGCTTTACAAGATAAAGATAAAAAATATAATATAATAATTTTTTATTTTTCTTGTAAAAAAAATACAAGGTAATATAAAAAGTATTTCTTATAAAAGAAAAAAAAAAGCATAAAAAAAAAATTTGACAACAAAAATAAACAAAAGCAGAAAATACTGTTGTAAAAAATTAGAAAAATAAAAAATAAAAGACTTTTCAAGATAAAGATAAAAAATATAATACAATATTTTTTTATTTTTCTTGTAAAAAAATACAAGATAATATAACAAGTATTTCTTGCAAAAAAATAAAACAAAAGGCATAAAAAAATAAAATGTATTTTGGCAGCATCATTTTTTTTTTTTTTGTAAAAAAAATAAAAAGTAATACAACAAGCAAAAAAAAATGTAGTACAACGTCTTCTTCTTTTGTCAAAAAAAAAAGAAAAGATAATCAACAAGTATCATATTTTTCGTTTAAAAAATAAATAAAAGATAACACAATAAGTATTTCTTGTCAAAAAAATAAAAAGTATTCTTTAATACAACCTAGAAATAAATGGTCTAATTATATTTTTTATTTCTATAACATGATGGTCTTTAACATAAATTTAGTAATATTAATTTAAAAATAGGATTCATACAATGAGGCCATTTGAAATCTCTCTTTCTGCTAACAATCTTTTCTACTAATTTATTCTAGAAACCTAAAAAATTAAAAAAAATTGGTACGCATTCTAATAATTTCTACATGGATAACCAATTCTTTTATTTTATTTATTAACTTTTTGTATTATAAATCATGTAGTGTACTATTTTTCTTACAGTTGTCAATAATACATTTTAAATTAGATGATATTATAAAATATTTTGGATTTGTTATTATTTATATAATAAAATAATTATAAAATATTGTTGGTATATAATATTATAGTTAGTTAGATTGTAATAATTTGGGTTTTTTTAGTGGATTAGGATTTTCTGCCAATTCGAAATTTTAGTGGCCAAATTTTCATCGATTTAGTCAACTCTTTATTGTAGTCTATATATAATTACATAATTAATCCATGATAATCCTATGATTTCTTTTGTGTGATGTAAATTTAATGGTAAACATAAGTTCATACAACGAAAGAGTATCTCAATATTCACAAATTGATGAAAAAAATAAAAGTTAATAATATAGTACCCTCATTTCTTATTAGATTCCTAAAAAACAACATTTATAATAAATTTTAATAATTCTTTCAGATTTTTTTGAAGCTTTAATCCGACCGATTCAGCCGATTCTCAATCCGGATCGCCGATTCACCGATCCAAATCAGGTTTTAAGGTGCTTGATCCGAGTCACCGATCCGCTTTTTAAACCATTGGTTTCCACCACTGGGAACCGACCCGACCAATTCCCGCCAAAGACCCACCTATTATTTGACAAAACGGGTCGGTTCCATTGGGGAATCGACTGATTTGGCTCCACCCTTTATTATTTATTTTTTAAAACTTTTATTTTGTTCGAAATTTTTTTATTATTATTAGCCGATTCACTCAACCGTATCGGCCATTCCGATTGGAATGAGCCAAACAGCACAGCCTTTCAAAGGGACCGATCCGTCCAACATATCCATTTTTTCCAAACACTGTGAACCAAACAAAAAGATACAGCATTATGAAATCTATTACCAGGAATAAATTTGACCAAGATGAAGATACATTTCCTATAAATTGGAAATCTATTTCATATATGAAATCTATCACCAGGAATAAATTTGACCAAGATGAAGATAGATTTCCCATAAATTGGAAATCTATTTCATATATCCACGGGCATAAAATAAATTTTTTCAAGATTTTTTTTTTTGGGTAGTTCAACAATAGGAATCACATTTGGGAATCAAATTTGAGATGTAGTATTGCACACTGTTATCTATTCCACTACACTTGATGGGAATGAATGAATAATCCTTTATATTCTGTAGCTGAGTTTAAAATAGCAAACACTCATTTTCCTATTTCTCCCTGCAATTTGTTTCATTGAAAAAATTAATTTTTCAATTATCTAAAATTTTTAATCCTTCTGCCATATTTTTTTGAAATGGACCTGCGACTTGACAATAATATTAAAACTTACATAAAGAAATTACAAAAGAAAAGAGCATTATAAAGTGGCTATTCAAAAAGGCCATCCTATTGCTTCAGCAATTAGAAATGCGTAACTTACAGTATAAGTAGACAATCATTTCTTCTCCAAAACTCGGAGTTTTGCACTTCGACATCTGCGGTTTAGTTGCTCCTCCTCTAGAGATGGAGTTATTGGTCTCTTTGTCAGAACGACCCCATCCTTTCCTTCTATGCTTCCTTTGCTCCAACCTTCTCTCTCATCTGGAGGAGTCAAACCACCTCTCTCATCCTCATGAGCCAAACCTTCCTCAAAATCCGCTTTCTTGACGATGTCCAGGAATGTCTGCTTCACTATCCTGTCTTCTAAACTATGGAAGGATATAACTGCAAGCCTACCACCAGGAGAAAGGCACCCGAAAGCTGCATATAGTGTGTCTTCCAATGTCTTCAGCTCATCATTCACTGCTATCCTAAGTGCTTGGAAAATGCGGGTAGCAGTCTTCATCCACCCCTGCCTCCCTGCACATTAGTATGATGGCTCACTCTCTCTCTCTCTCTCTCTCTCTCTCTCTGTGGAAGCAGGCATGTGTGTGTGGGGCCAGGATTGTGTGTGCATGTGCATGCCCACATACATGTGCATGTCATGCATAAATACACATGGTTAACTCGCACTCCAAAACACAGTACAATAAATCATGGTAGCATAGAATATGTAGGCTCAATTGCATTCATATATTTGGTTGGAAAGCATGGGACAGAACTTGCAACTCAAGGGTTGAGAAGAAGAGCTCCACACCACTAAAGCTACAGGGAAGAACTCCAATAAGCGTTAAATTTTGTACTCTAACCAATGATCCACAAAATTACTTTGCTTATCAAGGTGTTGAAAACTTTTTTAGCAACTAACTAGCATAATGATTGATGAAATTACGGGCACAACTTCAGTCCTTGGGATTTATGTACTTCAACTTATCATTGGGAAAGTTAAACCATGCCAACAACCACTTCTTCAGTATGAATTAATCAGAAAACTGGTAGTAGATAGAAAGGAAATATACCTCCTGATCGGGTAGAGGAACCACTAATAAGATCTACCAATTCGGTAGTGGAATGCAACCCCCCGTTCACACGGGCCTTGACAATCTTGTTCACAATGGTGCGCCAGTTGCTCTCTTCCCCAAATTCCCGAAAGATTCGACCGATCTCAGCTTCAGGCCAAGAATTCAATATATCGGTCGCTTTCAGACTAGCCTGTCAGGCCTGTTACAATTAGTTAGATGAAGCTATAGGCTAACAACCTTACAACGGTAATAATTATTAAAAAATGTCACAACAATTATGTCAAGCCGCAGTAAAATTAATTTTATTTAGTATTTATGGTACTAAAACAATCACTAGTATGTAAAGTCATTTAAAAGAACTTGATCCGGGGAGAAGAGATTGAATACTAAAATTGTTTGGACAATCTGAAGCAAAATCGGATAGTGTTTCCTAATTACATTGATTTTTGGTCGGGTATAAAATACAAAATTTATTATAACATAGAAAGAATAGTATTTCCTTATTACATTGATTTTGGTACTGGTATAAAATACAAAATATATTATTATAACATAGAAATTCACATCCAATTGAGATATCTGTAAGTCAAAAGAGCATATGCTCCCTCAAGTAAAACACCAAATTAGGAGTATTTTAAGGACCACAATCTAGGATGTAACCTCTTCAACCTAGCGACCAACCTCAAAAAATAAATAAATAAACATGTGCCTGAAAAAAATATAAAAATGAACAGAGGCCATCCAATTTTTGGAAAGCCAGATTTAAGTGTTTAACAACTCAAAATCCAATTCTATCTTAAAAACTAATCATCTGGTGATTCTTAGGTGCATCTCGAAATTTCAGATCAAACAATCTTCCTAAGTAGCTCTTTCACCCAAGGGAGTGAGTGTGCAGCATGCTAGCATAGGAACATGCTATACACTCTCCATTTATAATAGTTTAGATTCATCTCTTCTGTATTTCATTGACAAAATTCAGAAATACTTTATAGTTTTGTATTTTGTAATATTTTTGGCAGAAAACACGCTACTTGATATATCTCTATTACCTTCTTTTTTTCACGGCTCTCAACAGAGACATATTTAACAGCATAAGCGAATTGTTATACATCTTAAAAGATTGCAGTCCCTTTACTTTCAAAGAATACGAGATCACCTTGCTCAACTTGTATAACAGACACATCTTCTTTTTCTTCGTTTTCTTTTTTTGTTAAAGATTGCATGTTGCACTAAAAAGACAATCCTGCATGTCAACCACCTGAATTTACACTTCTATGCACAAGAAGTGGAGAAAACTTAATTGTCTTGAGAAAGACATAACAAGAAGTGGGCAAAGAAATTGTGGCTATGAAAACCCACGTAAAGAAGAAGCTCTATGTGTACCACATAGCACCGACGTAGGAAGATCATAATGACATTCCCCCTTGGTTGCAGATTTGAGTCTCACAATGACCCCTGAGAGAGGGGCCATGATGCTTGCTGCTGTCAATAGTTGCACAGGCCATACTGGTTTTTTGTTTTTGTTAGGGGAAACAGGAGAGGTACATGGTCACATTCTTACAGAATAATTAAAGACACAACAGCATGCCAGTTTTGATATTATTATGCAAGTATGTTGCATAAACCCATTATGAAGGAATAGTCTACCCTCTTTTGGCATAAAATTACTTGGAATGTGGTACTCCATGCATGACAACTAATAATCATATGTAAAGCAAGGAAATGGTAATCAGTCCTATTTTTATGGATAATAAAATGGCATTCAAACTCTCACCTTGGGATTCATTCTCATATCAAGAGGGCCATTGCTTAGCACACTGAACCCTCTTTGGGCATCATTAACCTGTGCAAGAATAAAATAAAAAGAAACATTACTTAAGAATGGCCTATAAACTAATAGAAATTGACAAATAACAAAATTTTTGTGTCCTTTCCAAGATGAGGAAATTGACAAGCAATCAATCGCCTTCTAATAAGACTCACATCCCACAGTTTAAAGCTCAACTGAAGTCAAAAACTTCTTATTATTAAAAAGGATTCCCAAACAATAGAAAACAGACAAACTCACAAAAATACAATGAATATTTTTGGAGGGGATAAGAGTGCATACCTGCATGGATGACATTCCTAAATCCATTAAAATCCCATCGATACCCTCAGAAACAAGACCTTCATGAATCTCGCTAATAACACTTCTGATATCTCTAAAATTTCTTTGAAGAATATGGGCCTTCAAAGCTCTTTTGGAAGTATCATCCGCAAGTACAGCATTAATTTGCGCACAAGCCAGTTTATGTGCAACGGGATCTACATCTAAGCCTATGAATATTTGCAATTCAGAATGATCACGAATTATCTGCACAAGACAGTTCACCAAAAATTTACTCAACAAAAATAAAACCCACTATAAAGCCAGATATCAATGGATAAATAATGAAAAGCTCCAAGAGTCAAAACAAAAAAAGATGTTTCACTGGAATTAGTGAAGCCCAACATGAAATTTCCTTTTGATATGACACTAATTTATATATCTGATTATTTGGTAATCATACCAACCGTGCAAGCTCACCATAAACTAAAACTCTCACACTTGTAAACTAGTAGACCAATACAAAAGATTTGGTGATACAAAGTCTCCCTTACTGGATTTCATGTGACTACACACATCTGGGCCATCGAATTTATGAAACGTTCATTATGTCTGGAAAGGAGGACCCCAAATTCTCAAGAAGCAATCCTTTTTAAAAGCCTCAAAGAAGGAGAAAAAGAAAAGCCAAGGACTAGATGGTACTTGCCTTCTACTAGTTGATGTCATTCCATCTTTATTTTCATTCACCCCAAACTTTTAGTTCTAAGGCTGTAAATCAAAGTGGCTGGCCCACAGGCTTCTGGGCCATGCCCAGTTTCAGGCCGATTTGGTGCCACTGTTAGGTCCACAGGCTGAGTCAGGTCTAAATATTTAGACTATTAATTTTCAGGCCAGTCTCTTGCCTGGAATGCCAATCCCATTGATCCCATGTTATATGATTTTCGATCAGGTCAAAAGGATTAAATTTCTTCTTCGGGAGTACATCATGATCCAAATAGTTATCCAAATCAGATTTTTTAGCTTCACCACTCGAATAAGCAGTTTAACTCCCAACACCAACCAACCATTTTTAAAGAACAATGGGATCAAAATCATATAGTCCCCATAAATATTATAAAATAACTAATGAAAACGTTAGACACGTGCATCACTATGTTGGTGATGTATTTTATGGAAACAATACTCCACTACCATCATCTTCAACCTAAGATCTATAGCTACTGCAATTACTAAAATCACCCTGATTGTCACATTTTAGTTGCATCCTTGAATTATAGATCTAATGAAAGAAAATGAACAGTTGGATTCTTCAATCAACATCATTTGAATATCCCAAAGACCCAAATCAAATCACTTCAAAGTAAAGATTAGTAGTCGAATAATTATTCCAAAAACAAAATTGTAGCATCAAAAACAACTCTTAAAAGCCTACAAATAATCTCAACCTTCATCTAATCTTCTGCACATGGTGCACACTTGTAGTGATTATTTATTAAACATGTAATTACATTGTGCATTCTCAAAAAAAAAGAAAGTGTAATAACATTGTTAAAAACCAAAACATTTTTTAAAAATTGCCCATGGTGAATTTTATTAAAAAATCCAAAATCAATCCCTTTTTACTTGGTAGTCATCATTAATGAGCAATTTTACTAAATTTTGTAAGAGGGATTGTGCTGCACTTGCAAATTTTATGGTTCGGCTGACATTTTAATGGCATCATGTATCTATATCTTCCATCCCCTCTTGCACTATCACATTAATAATGTGCACATGACAGAATTGCCCTTAGAGTAAAACATTTTGTGCGACATCATTTAAACAGCAATTTTTTCAACAGTATCATCTAATGCTTCAGAAAACTACAAGTGCGGAATAAAAATGGATTAATCTTCAATGTTTCTGCAAGGTTGAACTCAACATATGAAATTTTGAGTTTTTAACAAGTCCTTTAGTGTGTAGAATGTACTTTTACTACATAATCATGATGAGGTGCACAATCCGCATAAGATTGGAATGAAGGCTGAGATTTATATCTAAACGTTTTTCTTAATACTAAAATTTTATTTCCAAGACGCAATGATCCAACTGTTGTAAGGTGACATTCTACATCAGAGAAAAAAACTCAATCTATATCAAGATGAAGTAAGACCCTGAACCCTTTATGGAAATCTGTAAATAAAAAAAGTTTTTAATTACAGTGAACTCTCTAATCACTATCCCTGGTGACTTTTTAAAAAAATTATTAAAGATTAGATATTACAAAACCCTTTTTGTACTGATAATTGAATAAATTCCCTTCAAAATATAACATATTAGAGCTCGGCCGTATTTCATTTGAATGGGACAACTGATCACTAGCTCGTGTCTTCTAAAAATAAGATAATAAAGTCAAAACATGAACAGAAATATCATTCCAAGCTACTATTATTAGATTTCTTACAGGCTAGTTTCTTGGATTGGAAACATTTTACCTTTTTCAACATCTTTGGACATTTTTATTCATTATAGTATGATCCCTTCAAACCTCAAGTACTTCTATTTCTCTTTTAGCTATATTACGCTATCCAGATTAAGAAAAATTAGAAGCGATCACTGTTAGAAAAACTGGGCAATCTAACCACTAACCGCCCAGTAAATCCGGTTTTGGGCGGCTGTGGTGATCGACCGGTATTTAAAACAAAAAATTAAAAAAAATGTATATAAATTCTCAAAAATAAGGAATTTGGCTTGAAATGCATCTTTTAATATTCTTTACATTATGGTAAAGATTAAAAATTGTTTTTGTCATTAATACTCACTTTAATTCAAAAATCTATTTGTTAAAATTTATTTTTTTCATTAATTTTCAACTTCATTTGAATGTGTTTGGTTTTAATCATTCTTTATATGTTTTTCATATTTTAGTAGAGTTTATTTTTTGTATCTTTTTAATTTTTTCACACTTTTTTGACCGCCCGGGACTTGCCCGGTTAGAACGGTTGAAGCGGCCGGTTTACCGGTTAGGCCGGTTAAAGCGCTTCCGGCCCCATGTCCAGTTAGCTGTTCCGGTTCGATCTTGCAAACACTGGAAGTGATAGAAAAAATAATCCATTAAAGTCATTCGAACAATTTAAAGAAGTAACTTATTGAAGACATTCAAATGACTTGCATCTTTATTGTGCTTCCATGGTCTTCTATAAATTTTAGAAAATAGGGAATTATCAAAATTATTGGTTCCTACTACTTTTGATAAAGTTCAAGAGATAATTACGTATCACGAAAAATATCAATTGAAAACCAGTAACATCTTTGAAAGAAATATTAAAAATCAACAGAAACATTTCTTCAGATCATTGGGGGGAAAGAAAAAGGTCATCAATGAAATGATTTTCTGTCGTTGTAAATAAGAAATATCTGCACTACAAGCATAAATTTGGGACACATATTTACATGCCATATGAGGGGGGGGGAATTCTCAATATGTATAAAATAACACGGTCTAGGGTTTAGCACAACACGATTAGAATCACATTATTTTGAACAAAAATATCCAATTTATCAAAAAACCAATCATTTTACTCACTGATTGAAAATTTTACAGACATCTTGAGAGTCGGGTGAATAAAAAGATGAAGTGTTCACTTACAGCTGAAGAGTGGCCACCAGCACCCATGGTGCAGTCAACAAAAGAGCGAAGGTTACGAGCCCTAAAAACCTCAAGGGTCTCACCGAGAAGAACTGGTACATGGCACCCATCTGCCATGAACTCTTGGAGAAGATCTTTCTGGAATTCCTTTTTGGATCGAGTCCTTCGAACTAGGACTTCATTAAAGGACTTGCAGGAAACTTTAGAAGATCTCGATGGTATAGATGAACGGCTTCTTGATTTGAGAGCAATTAGGGTTTGGGGGATGAAGTTCATGGAAGGAAGCCTCGAGTTGCAGAGCCTGGCCATGGAGGTCGAGATGCCAATTGAAATGCGGGGGTTTTATGTCGCAAACTCTGGAGAGAGAAATGGGGTTTTCCAGAGGGGTGTGGTTTGTATAAGGCCGAGGACTTAAACAATCGAAGTAAGGCGTACCTTCAAGTCGTACCAAAATATAATGTTTCAGTATTTATGATAAAATAAAACTTTATTTTTATTTTTATTTTTATTTTTATTATAAAATTTAAAGATCCAAAATAGTATAGATCTAGTAGATCATTTAAATATCTTAAAAATTGATGGTCTGGATAATACGTTATATGATACATTAGTTCCAAGCTTGAAATTTATTTTTTCTCATATGCATACATTTTGAGGTCGAGATGATCGAATTTGAAGATATGTCAGCATTGAAACAATGTTTTTTAATGAATTTCTGATATGCTCCTTAATCCAATTGTTTAGTGCCTCACCCTTATATAAACTTTTCCTTTTACAAATCCGGGTCTGATGCAAATTGTGAAAAGAAGTGTTGAATTAAAAGCGAAACCACCCCTCAAAATCTTTGGCGCCTGATGATTGGCTTCAAAGTCTATTTCAAATTTTGGCGCAAGGATTTATATTTGAGGGACGTTTACATAGGTAGCCTCAAAGTGAGGCGTACTTTTAAATTTATGTGAGGTATAAGGTAGTCTAGATGTATACTATTTTAGGATTTTTAAATTTTATAATAAAAGTAAAATTTTAATTTTATGTTATCATAAAAATTTCTGAAACTATTTAAAGGTACGCTTTCCTTCAATTGTTTAAAACCTCAACCTTATATAAACCACACCTTTTGCTTAATATCTAAGCCAAAACAAATATAAGGGGGAGAGAGGTTTAAGGGCAATGTGCAAAACAAAAAGAAAAAAAAAAAAACTTGCAGTTCAAATCCAAAAACGCCTATCTAGATTGGGAATTGGTGGTAGGTGAACCACCTCCCAACCAATATTGTGAACCGGCATGATGCTACCCTCAAATCAGAATCAAACCGATGGATTGGTTTGAGTTTGACCGATGCCCAACCCACCAATAAAACTTTACAACTCGAAGGTTGCAAAATCAAACCCACTTGATCAAAAATTGATCATCTCGCTTATCGTGGGCAATGATTTCATGCAATTGTTGTGTAGTGATATGATACAATAACTTTAAAAAACCATCTTATGGATCTAAATTTTGAAATATATATTATTTTTATTCTAACGAACAATCACAAAAAAAATGAAATTTTGAAAATACAACCTAGAAAGTATTTTTTTAGCCCAATTAATGTAGGCTGTTCATTTAGGTGAGATGCTTAGATCTAGGCTTTAGAAGGATTTTTTTCATTTCTATTTTTTTTTTTTTTTGATGCCTTTATTATCATTAGATAAACAAATGTTAAAAAAGCAAAAAATGATTTGGAGTTTATAAAAGCTAAGATCTTGAAATTCACAAAAGGAAAGGCCTATATTCGTTTTTGGAGATGACTCATTTTGACCGTATCTAGGGTTAAAATATATATATATATATTTTTTTTAGATTGATTATTGAGATGAAGAGAGTGTGTGTGTAAAATTTGGGATCATACAAATACCACAAACATGGTTTTTTTAGAAGTGTCGTTGCAATACACTATGATACAACCGTTATATTAGACCATTGCTCATTATGGTTTATAACACAAGGCAAAATCAAATCATATACTGGAATCTTTTTAATCAACTTTGGTTTTTTATTTAAAAACATTTTTTTGGTGTTTTTAGCCCAATCCATCAAATAACAAATTAGTCTTCAAATTTTCAACTAAATTTCCTCAAATATGGCTCTTATAAAAGTCCATTGATCCCTCTACAACATCGTATCATCAATTTGAAGGATCAAAACCATTTACTTGAAAGATCAAGTCCATAAAATTTCGGGTTTTTTTCTCATCCCAATGTATTGAATCAAAGATCATCAATTTTCATCTGATTTTCGACAAATTTCACAAGGGCTTGAGATCTAAGAGGCTACTGATTTCACTAGTAACGGGTACTTCGGTCTTTTAATTTGTGTTCTTTTTGTTTCGATTTCTTTCTCAATATTAGGGTTTAGGTGAAAATTTGGATTAAGAATTAAACTTTGGATTTGTCCTTGTCCAAATCTGGTTCAATTGATTCCATTGTACATGATTTGTTTCAATTCAAGTGATTAAAGCCTAGTTTTATGTAGATCTAGTCTGATTTTGGGCTCAAGACTAAACCCAAGGGTTTTTACTTGATTTTATATGGCAAATATCTCTTAATCACTTTTTTTTTATACAAGGAGATCACAATTACCATTGCCCATTTGATGTGGTATCCAACAATTAAAGGAGTCACACAAGTCAAGAAATTTTATTTTGATTTTTGTTGCCCAATAAATTACATATCCCTAGCCACCCGATTGCACATGTTATGCTCCATAACGATTGTAACCTTTGGATTAAATCGATAAAAAACGACCACTAAAATCTCGAATTGGCGGAAAAACCTAATCCACTAAAAAAAAACAAACCAAATTATTACAACCTAAATAACTATAATCCAAAATTATTACAACCTATCATACTTTAATATTATATATTGCAACAAAAATTGTTGGTTTATATTTTATTATATAAATAATAGAAAATTTAAAATATTTTATAATATCATTTAATTAAAAATGTATTATTGACAACTGTAAGAAAAATAATATATTACAAGATTTATAATGCAAATAAATAAATAAAATATTTGATTGTCAATATATAAATTATTCGAATGCGCATCAATTTTCAAAATAACACTTCAAATTTTTTAAAATATAATTTTTTAGAATTCTAGAATAAATTTAATGGAAGAGATTATTAGAGACAGAGAAATATTTCAAATATATATGAATCATATCTTAAAATCAATATTCCTAATTTATGTTAAAGCTTACCATACTATAAAAATAAAATTTATAATTAGATTAGTTATTCCTAGTTTGTATTAATAAATATTTGTTGTATAAAGAAATATCTTTTATTTTTTTGACAAGAAATACTTGTTGTATTGTTTTTTACAATAAAATATGATATTTGTTGTGTTACTTCTTCTTCTTTTTTTGACAAGAAAAACAAGAAGATGTTATATTACCTTCTTCTTCTTTTTTGCTTGTTGTATTACTTTTTATTTTTTTTATTTTTTTATCTCTTTTATCATATTATTTTATTCATTTTAGTTTTTTTTTAAGACAAAAGTAAAAACCTATAATCTTTTCTTTTCTTTTTTTTTCTTTTTTTTTTATGAAGGCAAATTTTAGTTTTTTTTTAAAGACAAAAGTAAAAACCTATCTTCTTTTTTTTATGATATTATTTTTTTAAAAAAAATTATGAAGACAAAAAGTGAATTTTGCACAATAGCATCCCAACTGGGATTTAAACTTGAGATATCAAGTATAAAACCTCTACTGTTAACTACGACAACCCTTTGTGCACTACTAAATAATATTTTACAATATTTACCCATATTGTATGAATTTTCAATATAATATCGCTTAGCGCAAGTCCCACATCAAAGAATTGGAGAAAGTCTATAAGATATAAATACCTTTACAAAAGCCTTAATGCCAGCGCGATAGAGAGAAAGGGTAAACTGAAATGATATTTTGAAAAAAATTACCAAAATGTCCTCAGGTAAGGACTCACTCGTGACGTAACTAAGCGGCTGGAATCGCGATTTATGACGTAATAGGGGCGATTCACGATTCAAAATTGTCGATTCTCTCCTAGGATCCTATGACGTAATAAGGGCGATTCACGATTCAAAATCGTCGATTCTAGATTCAAAATCGTCGATTCTCTCGTAGGATCGAGCGATTCCTGTATATGACATAATAGGGGTGATTCACGATTCAAAATCGTCGATTCAATTCACGATTCAAAATCGTCGATTCAATTCATGATTCAAAATCGTCGATTCTCTGCAATTCACGATTCAAAATCGTCCATTCTCTCCTAGGATCGGGCGATTCCCGTGTATGACATAATAGGGGTGGTTCACGATTCAAAATCGTCGATTCTCTCCTATGATCGGGCGATTCCTGTGCCGAATCGTGAGTTATGACGTAATAGGGACAATTCACGATTCAAAATCGTCAATCGTCGATTCTCTCTTAGGATCGGTCGAATCGTGATTTATGACGTAATAGGGACGATTCACGATTCAAAATCGTCGATCGTCGTTTGTCTCTTAGGATCGGGCGATTCCCGTGTCGACTGTGACATCACTAAGGGGATGGAATCGCAATTTGATTTATGCCGTAACAGGGGCGATTAACGATTCAAAATTGTCGATTCTCTGCTAGGATCCTATAACGTAATAGGGGCGATTCACGATTCAAAATCGTCGATTCTCTCCTAAGATTCCCATGTATGTAATAGGGGCGATTCACGATTCAAAATCGGTGATTCTCTTCTAGGATCGGGCAATTCCTATGTCGAATCGTGATTTATAACCTAATAGGGGAGATTCACGATTCAAAATCGTCGATTCTCTCTTAGGATCGGGCGATTCCCATGTCGACTAGGGCAAGTTCGTTGTGACTCACCGATTTTTAAAACCCTACTTACAACAATTGGATACCAACAGAGTCCGTTGCAACTCGCCGATTTTTAATACCCTGCTTACAACAATTGGATACCAACAATCACATGGCTCAAAATGCCCGATCTGCACACACATGTAGCTTAGCACGCTTGTTAAGTGCAAGGTGCATCATCAAGCACCTTACCGTTGCGACTCGCCAATTTTTAAAACACTGCTTACAACAATTGGATACCAACAGTCACATGGCTCAAAATGTCCGACCTGCACACATATGTAGCTTAGCACGCTTGTTAGTGAAGTATAAGGTGCATCACCAAGCACCTTTAGGCCCTGCATGAGCACCTTTGAAGTGCTTTATATAGTTTTTACTCTATTTGGATATTAGAAAACAAGTGAAGAAGATATCCCCTTATCAAAGATGACTTATCTCGCTCCATTGTTTGAAGTGCGATAAATAGCTCGATGCTTCTCTCGACAAATAAAATAAAATATACTTTCCAAAACACTACAATATAAAAGAGATTATTTCAAAATAACACAATATTCTTAGTGTTTTAAAACCTGTATCGACGTGACAAAATGTTTAGCCAGAGTTTAGTGTCGGATCGTTGGAGCTGTGATCCAGATCATGTCTGGATTGATATGTATCTATGGTCCACATAAATATTTAAAAAATTAAATTAAATAAAAATTAAAAATGAGAGTTTATGGGTGGATATGTATATAAGAAAAGTCTTCCCAACTCCTATAGGCGAAAATGAACAGTGATTTTGCTTGTGCTCATCACCGTCCAAAGTTCATCGCACTATCACTGTTGTTCGGTGGGTTTTTTATTTTTATTTTTTTTCTACGAATTATAATGATTTGAAATTTCAAGCGTGTGTACATCTTAGTGAGGCACACCTAAGAC